TTCCATAAGGCAATATCCAGTGACTTAGAACCTGTCTCTGCCACTTATGTTTTTCGGTCTCTTTGATCTTGAGGATAGAGAATGGGTGTGTTATTAAGTATGTGCTTGGACACAGGAGTGTCCCTGAAGATAGAAGGATGATAAGAAGACAGAAGAAATAGTAATAAGCAGTAATAAACTATAATCACCATAATGTTGATGATTATTTAGTTCTTAATTATAGGAGCCCCAAAAATAACTTTACCCTACAAGTAAAGAATAAAACACAGTGCTAGCTGCTTTTATGCGTGACTAGAAAGGATAAAGGGGAAAAATGAAAATAGCCCCCAAACAAAACAAAAGTGCAACAGATCTTTCTGTGATAATAAAAATGTGTCTATGCTATGCAATATGGTAGCCACTAGCTAGATATAACTATTGAAGAGTTGAAATATAGTTAATACAACTAGGGAACTAAATTTTTATTTTATACCAATTAAATTAATTTTATTAAAAGTAAATAGCCACATGTGAGTAGTGTTGGATTCTAGTTGATTTTATTATTCTTTTTTGTACTGGTGTTTGAACCCAAGGACTTCACACTGAGCCATAGCCCCAGCCCATGTTTCAAAATATTTTTGAGACAGGGTCTCACTAAGTCATTAAATTGCCTCATCTGGGTTTCAACTTGTGATCCTCCTGCTTCCTGCCTCAGCCTCCTGGAATGCTAGGATTACAGGTGTGCATCACCACATGGGCAAGTCAAGGCTGAATGTATCTCTAGTTTTTAAAAATCTATTTCATGCCTGAGCAGCTCTAGGAAGATCAAAAAGGAAAAGATAAGGCCAGGGATTTAGCTCAAGGGTTTGGTGGCCCACCTTGCAAGCACAAGGACCCGAGTTCAATCCCCGGTACCAAAACAAAAAAAGAAAGAAAGAAAGAAAAAGATGATGTGGTTTTTCTATAAAATGGAATACTACTCAGCCATAAAGAATGAGAAAGTAGATTCATTCATAGGTAAATGGGTACATTTTGAGGATATACTCCCAAGTGAAATAAATAAGTCACACATATGCAAATACTGAATAGTTTCTCTGGTGTGAAAAACTAAAATAGTACTCAAGATCCTAACAGGGCAATTAGCAATGTGAAATAGGAAGAAAAGGACCAAAGGTGTAGGACAGTGAGAAGGATAGGGAAAGGGGAACAAGGAAAAAGGAAAAAAATATGAGAAAATGTAAAAATGGAATTAAAGTGTTTGAAGGTGGGGAGGATAGGGGAGGGTGAAGGGAGGGTGGGGACAAGGGGAAAAAAATGAGAACCAAGACCTGGCATGTAAAGGTACAAGATCCCAGTAATGAATGTAACTGTACTGTATACCTAAAATGTACCAATAAATTCAATTTAAAATTTTAAAAAAAGAAAGAAAGAAAAAGATAGAATGGGGAATAATAATAGCCAATATTTACTCTGTGTTTATTATAATGTCAGGTACTTCTCTAAATACTTAACAGATGTTTTATAGGATATTGCAGTGTGGTAAGTACTATTAGAATCACCATTTTACAGGTGATAAAAATGAGGCATAGTAGGGATTTTCTTGCCTAGAATCACACTGTTGGTAAGCAAGGGATAGAGATACAATTTACAAACAGGTAGTTTGATTACATAGCCCACTCGTTTAGACAGCATCAGCTCAGGAATTAAGTGAAGTGACCAGGGCCATATGTCCCAAACCGTGCCAGTGTGCAAGCTCACAGGGGCACCATGGGGTACTTAATTTATTTATGATCATGGTCTTGGTCTTACTGTGTTGCCTAGCCTGATCATAAACTCAGTGACTCCAGTGATCCTCTCTCTCACCTCTGTTTCAGTACTAGGGACTAAACCTAGGGTCTTCACACTGAGTTACAGCCCCAGCCCTTTTCATTTTTTGAGAAACTCACTAAATTGCTAAATTTCCCAGTCTGGGATGGAATTTACAATCCTTCCACCTTAACTTCCCGGAGTGCTGGGATTACAAGTGTGGATCACCACACCCAGCTGATCTTCCCTGCTCAGCATCTTGAGTGGCTGAGACTAAAGGCCAGAGATGCTAAGAAAAGATTGTTGAAATACTTAATTCACTGCAGACTGAGAAATTCTCTGGATTTGGCTGTTACAAACATTGAAATAATGGTTAAAAGTCTGGAGGTTTGGTCTGAAATGGCATAATAGGAAAGAAAAGATGCTTAACAGTACTTCACAGCAAGTATCTCTGTTTACAGTGTAACAGATAAACATAGAAAAGAAATCTCTACCCTTTAGTGGTTAAAAGCCTCTGAGGAAAGCAGCAAGAGATAAAGATGGGTTGCCAAAGACAGCCACAGGCACTCGACAGGAGTTAATGCAACCTTGTGTGACAGACCACAAGATGAAGATGTGATCCAAGGAGGCTGCTAGACCCCGTGAGGCAGGCTCTTCTCAGAGTTCCATTGGTGAATCCAGGGTGAAAAAGGTTAGGGGTCCAACTGGGTGTAGCGTCACATGTCTGTTACCCCAGTACTCCAGAGGCTGAGCCAGGTGGGTTAGAAGTTTGAGATGAGCCTGGGCAGTTTAACAAGATGCTGTCTCAAAAAATGAAAAGGTTGGTGTATATATCAGTTGTGAAGTACTCCTGGGTTCCATCCACCAGGACTACTTGCAAAAACAACACAACAAAAGAGCAACAACAAAGCCAATTAAAGTCCAAGTGATCAGGCTGGGCGTGGTGGCGCAAGCCTGTAATACCAGCACTCAGGAGTCTGAGGCAGGAGGATCGCTGTGAGCTCGAGACCAGCCTGGGCCACATAGTGAGTTCCAGGTCAGTCTCACTACATAGTGAGACCCTGTCTCAAAAAAAACAAATAAATAAATAAAGTCCAAGTGATTATGTAGAAGGTTGGTTGCTGAACTTGAAGCAGAGTTCAGTATGGGGGTTCTGCTGTGGCACTTGCTTAGCATGTGTGAGGCCCTGGGTGTATTCCCAGCACAATAATCAAAACAAGTAAACAAGCAGACAAAAAAGATGAAGTATATTCAGAAGGTTGTGCCACCCTGGCCAATGTGCCCACTGACAAACTATTTTGCTTATCAAGTAATAATACCTAGGTTAGAACTTCTTTTTTCTTTTTTTTTAAGTTTTTTTTTTGTTTTTGTTTTTGTTTTTTGTTGTTGTTGGTTATTTTTTTTTGTTGTTTTTTTTTGTACCAGGGATCGAACACCGGGTCCTTGCACTTGCAAGGTAGGTCGCAGAACCACTGAGGCAAATCCCCGGCCCCTACCTTTTGGTTTTTTGAGATGAGGTTACACTCTGTAATTCAGGCTGGATTTGAACTTGCTGTGTAGCCCAGGCTGGCCTCAGCCTCCTAAATGCCTGCGCCACCACACCCAGTTGAACTTCCTAAAATATCATTATGTCCTAATCTCATCTTTTGTGTAAATTAGACTAGATTAAGGGTAATTTTCAAAAGCTCTTAAACTGTGAAATATTGATAGATATTTTCTGTGACTGTGCATCGGTCAGCTTTCCATTTCTAGGACAGAGTACTGGATGCCCACAACTTGAAGGTGGAGAGGTTGATTTGGCCGACTGCTTCCAAGGCTTCAGTCCATGGCTTGCTGGTTCCAAGGCAGCAACATCATGGTGGAGGGTGTGGTGGTGCAGTCATTCACTTCATGGTGGCCAGGAAACAGCACAGGCAAAGAGTGGCAGAGAGGAAGGGGTCAGGGAGTAGAGATAGTCCCCTGGTCAGGAAACAACTGCAATAACAAGATCATACCCTCGTGAAGCACCCAGACACACCCGGAATCATGTTTTACTAATCTCCTACGTGTCTCTCAAGCCACTCAAATTGGCAATCAATATAACCACCACAGGCTGGTTTTTACTTATGACTGATCTCCATTATTTCAAATAAAACTTTTAATATTTCACTTTTTTTTTTTGAGATGAGGTTCATTACATAGTTCAGGCTGGCCTTGAACTCACCGTGAGCCTGTTTCAGCCTCCCAAGTCCTGGGATTACAGGCTTGCTCTATTCCAAATCCTTATAGTCTCATCACTAAAGTGAATCTTTAGTAGTCCAATCTGTTATCTCTGCTGCAACAACTAGAGGAATAAGAACAGTAATAATAGCAATAATCATGGCAGAACAAACCACTTGTCTACTACTGGGCCCAGTTCTCTATGCACAGTTTGTTTTTTCGTTACAGATATTATTTTCGCATTCATATTCACAACACTAGAACAGTTGGGCTGCGTAGTTGAAGCTCAACAAATACTTGTTGAATGAGAAAAATGCAGTTAGAAAAAAATGGTGGGTAAAAGGGCAAGCAGGAAAGCTTACAGTTCGGGATAGGGAATTGCTGGAGGGTGCTAAGAGCTAAGCAAGGAGCACTGACCACTGATTTTGATGCAAAACTTCTAAGAGTGGGAGAAGCAGCAAACGAACTCTCCCAAGCATCCTCTTGGGTGGAGTCCTCTACTTGCGGGAATTGTTTGGATCCAGTACAGCGCACCACCCACCCTGTCGTAATCCTGTCTGTAAAGGATCCAGTTCTTGCACCAGAACTTTCTCTTCTCCCATTTGGACCTGGAAGTGTTTTCCCAAAGCTCTGCAGCCTCCAAGTCAACACTGTAGTAACCAGGGTAACTAACTGTGCTTCCCTTGTCCACGAAGCAACTCAAGACCCTGGCTTTCCTCATTTCATTCTTGGGTTGCACAGCTTGAGGCTTGAAATTTTCTCTTTTCAAATCTAGTGGTTTGCTGTAAACTGCCTGGAGTGGGGGTGCAGACAGACTTTTCAAGGGGGCTCGAGGCCCCCACTTTGCTGGAGGCCCTGGCCTTGGGAACCCGAAAGGGCTTCCTGAAGAAAGGCTTCCTGACGGCGGTGGGGAGCCTTCAACTCTGGAAAGAATTCTGATTGGATTTTCAGCTCAGCCTCAGGCCACTGAATCCCTTGTGCGTCACCATGGAGACGGGGCAGGCCTGCCCGCTCGCCTGCCATTGGCTGGGGACGCTGGGGTTTGGAGATAAAAGCCAGCGCCCAAGGCACAGTACTCTGTGTGGACTGGATCGGCGACCGCCACCTATCACCACCGATCGATCACAGCCCGGAAGAGCAGGATCTCTGGGAACGCGTTGGTGGAACCATGGAGAACGGGTGAGACGAGCAGCAGGCCTAGAGACCCCCGATTCCCCCGGGGAAGGGAAATAACTGCCATGAGACCTGGGAACTCAGCACCTTGGTTCCAAGAGGGCAGGGATAAGGAACAAGCACCCTGGAGACACAAGAGAGGCCTGGCACGGAGCCTGGTGTCAGAGTCAGGGCGAGAGAACAGTGGGACAGACAGCGAGGGTGGGGCGCGCGCGGAAATCTAGCTGGGGTTGCTCCGCCCGAAGCAGGAAGGAGACAAGTTTGCGCAGCGCAAGCTACTCCTGAAGGAACTTGTGTGACCATCTGTGTGCGGGTTTCGGGGTGAGAGTGGAGAGGCAGGCACACGCCCTAGTGCAGACCACGGACTTTGCCTCCCCACCACATGCAGTCTTCACAGGCCATCATTCAGGGTCTAGGTAAAGACCACGTACTTTGGGGAGCCTGGAGTTCTTCCCTTGGAGGAAGGGTGGTTTATCCCCCTTGCCAACTCCTTCTTATCCTCCGAACTGGAAGTCACATGCACCAGCTGGGAATGGAGTTCTAGGGAGAGATGTCCTTCTCCTTTATTCACTGAGCAGAGCAACTTAACAGCGTTCATCCCCACCCCCCACCTTTGAAAAACCCTTCTCTTTGCGTTGGTCCTGGAATTCCAAGTCACCAGCATGGGGATCACCCCGTGCCTTTTGGACGACAGAGAACCAAAGGTGTTCTTGGGGGACCGACACCAAGTAGGAAGTCCTTTGAGCTGTGCGGTAATGGCTGTACGCTTTCATTTTCTTTGCACCTCTTAAAGATGCATGTTGATTAATATGTCACCAACCTTATTGGCTCTGTTGCCTCCCCAACCTCTTACTCAGTTATTTCCCTGAGAGTAGCCTAATTTATTGTGGAATTTTGTCTGATTTTCCAGGCCTTTTTGCTTTGCTCTGTTTTCATGGCAGGGTCATGCTATGCTGCCCATACTAGACTCCTGAGGCTCAAGAAATCCTCTCACATCAGCCTGGAAAGTGGGACCATGGGTGTTTGCTACTGTGCCTGGCTCCTAGGCTCTGCTTTTTGCTGTTATTGTTTGTTTTTGTCGATTTTTTAAAAATTTGTTTTTTTGTTTGTTTGTTTGTTTAGATAGGATCTCACTATGTAGTTGAGACTGACCTGGAACTCACTATGTAGCCCAGGCTGGTCTTGACCTCACAGCGATCATCCTGCCTCAGTCTCCCAAGTGCTGGGATTACAGGCGTGTGCCTCCATGCCTGGTTTAAAAAAAAAAAAAAATTTTTTTTTGAGACAGGATCTTGCTCTCAGTTGGGCCTTGAACTCACTGTGTAGTCAAGGTTGGCCTCAAATTCCCAGAGATCCTCCTGCCTCAGCCTCCTGAGTGCTGGGATTACAGGCATGTGCCACCATGCCCTGCCTAGGCTCTGCTTATTAAAAAAAAAATATTTCCTCTGAAAGTTGTGTTTAACTGTTACACCTCAATTCCACCTCAAGAGCCATCTTTGATCTTTTCGGATGGGTGTGATGGAATTAGAGTTGAGACTGAGAAAAGCTCCAGATTGGCTCTTGCTAATAGTATAAGGTTCTGGGTAAACTTTTGCTTGTATATTCTAAAGGGAAGAAGTCTTGGTGTGAAGAGAAGGGAAGATTGAAGTAGTCAGAAACCAGAAATAACAGCAGGAGGAGGTTGCAGACAGGGAAAGCAGGAAAAAGTTTCAAAGTTTGGAGCTTCTTAGCAAAATTCTACTCTGCAGGGATGGGCCCACAACCCGTATTTGTAACAAGCTTCTGCAGAGAATTTATGCAGACAGTCCTAGTATATCCTTTGGCAGACAACTAATGTTGTGGATTTGTTGTGGCCTGTTGTATTGCCATAGGTTAGTCTGGCCTTGGGCACCTTTGCAGTTCCGTGTAACGGGTTTGTAGGGACCTGGGAATCTTACAAATAAGGATCCCGGAGAAATTCACAATGGCACATAGACTTCTACCAGGATATTCCCATATGCTTTCTTCCCTTCTTTCCTTCCTTCCTTCTTTTTTTTTTTTGGTGTGTGTGTGTGTTAATTCAAAAAGTCAGACCCAAGAGCTAGCCATGTGGCAGGCCTGTAGTCCCAGCTACTAGAGAAGCTAAAGCAAGAGAAATCACTTGAGTCTAGGAGTTGGAGGCCAGCTTGAGTGATGCTCCTTCTTTAGAACATGAAACACACACACACACACACACACACACACACACACAGCCAGGGCCAGGTGTGTGGCAGTTTAATTACCATTAAACTTAGCATCTTTAGGCCCTGAATTCCATTCCCAGCACAGGATAGGGGCTGTGGAAGTTATTAGACTTTTAGTATTTGGCTGAGGAAGGAACTACAGACTACATTTCTAAGAGGAAATTGGGTTTATTACTGTCTTCAGGGCAGTTAGCTTTAATTACATTTTGAGAGTCAGTAGGGATAGATAGGGTAGTTTAGAAGAGTGAGTTGTTTACCCCTGCCCTTGGGGAGGTCTTAATTGCATTTTGAGTGCTCTCCTTAGCCTTACTCTCCATATTTCATTGCACTTCTCTGGATCCCAGAGTCCCTCCTGAAACCTTTCCTGAGAAGTAATAAGTTTGTCAGTGCTGGACGTGTAGGTCAGTGGTAGAGCATTTGTCTAGTGTGTGAGGGGCTTTGGGTTTGATTCCCAGCAACACAGTGAAAGTGAAACAAGACAAAACCTGCACGTTATTGACACTGGATTGCGGGCCATTAGTGGAGACAGAATTCTTTAACATTGGCCAGGTTCTCAAATCGAGGGGTTTTCATGCCTGATTTGCGGCAGGCCTGTGACCTCTACCTCTGGGCCAGCTTCTCGTTCCCTGTGATCTCAATACCTGCCAGCCTTTCTGCACTGCAGGTCATTGTCCATGATACCCTTGGAATGGGAGTAGAATTCACTTTCTTGATTTCCTTTTTATCTTCTAGATTCACATATGAAGATTATGAGAACACTGCACAATGGCTTCTCTCTCATACCAAGCACCGGCCAGAAGTGGCAGTGATCTGTGGTTCTGGGTTAGGAGGTCTGGCTGATAAATTAATTCAGGCCCAGAGCTTTGACTACAGCGACATTCCCAAGTTTCCCCGAAGCACAGGTACTGGGAATTGGAAGGAGGGGGTGAAACTGAGGGATATCGATGGGGTTCTGTGGAATTCAACCAGGGGAGTCAGTGTGACTACTCCTGGATCTAGCTTTTGACCCAAATCAAATGTTGTAAGAGAGAAAAAGACTACCACAACATTCCCCTAAAAGAAATTTCCTAAAATAGCGCATAAGTCAGTGGGACTAAGACAGTATCTTTCCTATGCTTTACTGACTTCCAGCTCCCTAAAACTCTACAGCGCCTCCTCCCAGATACCCATCTCTCTCAATACCTCGACCCTGTAGTTTAAATGGGGAAAATAATATCTACAGCCTCCCAGGCCAAAGTCAGTCCCTGTCTCTAGCTCTTCCAGATTTGTCAGGGAGAAGGGGTTTTTATTATTATATTATGTATTATATTATTATTATAAATATAATTTTTTTTTTTTTGTACCGGGGATTGAACTCGGGTCCTTGCGCTTGCAAGGCAGGCCACCAAACTGCTGAGCTAAATCCCCGGCCCCTTATTTATTTCTTTTTGAAACAGGGTCTCACTATGTAGCTCAGGTTGGACTTGAACTCACCTTGCTAACCAGGTTGGCCTTGAATTTCATGGCGATCCTCTTGCCTCAGCCTCCCAAGGGCTGGGATTACAGGCATGAGACACCACATCCAGCTCTATTTATTTTTTATACTCCAGTTGGGTTTTCATAACTGTGAGTTCTGCTCTGTAAATAGTAACTCTGTAACTGCTCCCTCTCTGAGTATCCCTCAATATTTCCTGTTGATTCTGGTCCCCTGCCCATACCATCCATTCCCTAAGCGATAAGTTGGCCTCATGTCAGTGGTAATTGCCAGATAAAAGAAATGGGAAAACTGGGTATTTTAACTGTGGGGAGTTATCTTTGTATTTTCATGCCCCTGCATCCCCCTACATGGGTGCACATTTCCACAGGACTGGTGTGGGTCATAAGGAAAGAGAATTTCATGAGTTCAAATCCAGCCCTTTTCTCCTGACAAATTTGGAAGAGGCCTATAATCACAGCATTATTACCCACTTTATTTTCTCTTTCTACCCACTTTATTTTCTTTATTTTTACTTTTATCCCATTGCAGTATGGCTTTCTCATTCTTTTGAAATTTCTTCTTAAAAGCCTTTCCTTTTGTATGGTCACACTGAAATCATGCTTTCCTCCCTAGATCTAAATCCAGGTTGCCTTGTGTGAGTCTGATTGTGTTCACCAGACTTTAAATGCCTTTCATCAGGACGCATGTAGAGTGTGCTAAGCGGCACATTGTGGTGCTCAGGAGGTATGTGTCCCATGAATGCCAACTCCTGTTCACTTTCCTTTCCTGTTTGTATACAGTGCCGGGTCATGCTGGTCGACTGGTGTTCGGATTCCTGAATGGCAAAGCCTGTGTGATGATGCAGGGCAGATTCCACATGTATGAAGGATATTCGCTCTGGCAGGTAAATCAGCGTCATAGGCCTGCTTGGATCTGGAATAAAGGGAGAGAAAGAGCCATCTTTTCTATTAACTGTTTTGTCCCCTTCTTGTTGCAGGGACAGTATACCCAGCACCCATAACTTAAAGGAAGAGGTTTCAGTCTATATATAGTTCAGCAGGAGTGGAAGGGGCTGGGCGGAGGAAAGTCGGTCACAGCACGGCGGCCTGAAAGTAGAGAGCAGGGAAGACCCAGTGAGGAAGATAACACTCTTCCAAGTTAGCTCCCCAGCAGCCCGCCTCTAATCGGGCCTGACCCACTAGCAGCAAGTCAGCTACCCTGCCTCCATGATCCCAGTCACCTTCTAAAAGATCCACCTCTGAGCACATGAGAATTTGGGGGAACATGCTAGATCTAAACCGTAACAGTTATGTAGCTACTGGGGCTAGGTAGATTTTTGTTCCTCGTCTGTCTCTTCTTTCATGATGTATATTATGTACATCTTCATAGGTAGATTGAAATTTGAAAAAAATTTTTTTTTTTTAATCTTTGCTTCCAAGGTGACATTCCCCGTGAGGGTCTTCCGGCTTCTGGGAGTGGATACACTGGTGGTCACCAATGCAGCTGGAGGGCTCAACCCTAAGTTTGAGGTTGGAGACATCATGCTGATCCGTGATCATATCAACCTACCGGGTTTCTCTGGTCAGAACCCTCTCAAGGGGCCCAATGATGAAAGGTATGTGTCGTGCTTTTTTGTGTCTAAGTAGGTAGTTTAAGGAGTTGTCTAGGAGGTAGGAAGCTCATTTACTTTCATTTATCTGAGATAATCCATCCTTTGACCTAGGTTTGGAGCTCGTTTCCCTGCTATGTCTGATGCTTATGACCGGAATATGAGGGAGAAGGCTTTCAGCGTCTGGAAACAAATGAAAGAGAAGCGAGAGCTGCAGGAGGGCACCTATGTGATGCTGGCCGGCCCCAACTTCGAGACAGTGGCCGAATGTCGCCTGCTGCAGAAGCTGGGGGCGGATGCTGTGGGTGAGAAGAGGGGGACGTGGCTGGAGGCTTGAGGGAAGGGTCTGGTAAAAGAGCACTGGGAAGAGGTAGGTTACAGATAACAGAATAGAAAAAGAGTGATTTAATAGGGGGGTAAACTGATTTGTAGAAAAACAAAGCGGGAAAGTTTGCTGAGGTGCAGCACAAGAGCTTAACAGCTTCAGTGCTCATCACCTACTCAGGATTTGACTCTTCCTAAGAATTATTCTAACAAACATCTAACAAGTCTGACAATATAGTCAACTTCTGCACCTCTGGATGACAGGCAGGTAACTCACTGTATTGGCCATATTTATAAGAAATTTGTAAGACCTTCTGAGGCCCAACTTCTTTGAAGCAATCTAGGATAACCTAAATTCAATACTAATGTAGCTCCTTTGGTGGATGCCTTTTGAGATTTTCAGCTCTCAAGAATGATGAGACTAAAGGGGGAAGAAGAGTCATTTGCAAATCTTACCAGTTGGTATCTCTATTCCTCTTACCAGGCATGAGCACAGTGCCAGAAGTTTTAGTTGCACGGCACTGTGGACTTCGAGTCTTTGGCTTCTCACTCATCACAAACAAAGTCATCACGGATTATGAAAGCCTGGAGAAGGCCAATCACGAGGAAGTACTAGAGGCGGGGAGACAAGCTGCAAAGAAATTGGAACAGTTTGTCTCCCTTCTCATGACTAGCATTCCACCCTCTCACAATGCCTAATGGCTACTCCTGGAGTAGTTTGGGGCCTCCCTGATGGATGGAATCCAAGTGAGTACTACCTACTTTGGCCCCTTGCTGGGGTCATGTGCCTCTGCTCTTAGGTAGTAGAAAGAAAATGAGCTCTGTATCCTTCACATTCCCTACTTTCTCCCACCGGACCTTTTTGGTACCAAGTCTTCTTGCTCAGTTGTCTTCTCAAAGCAGTTTTTCTACCCCATTCTTCTGGAAGAGCTGGAGCCCAATGCCCTATCACACCCAGGGACACGCCTGTGATTGGACACAGGCCTTTGAACGCCTAACAACAGCTGCTGCTAGCTCTGTGAGATGACAGTCTCATGTTCTTGGGGCTCTATTATGCCTCACTTATAGCACTAGAGAGCAATTAAGGACCAGCTCATACACCATAATATTTTGAGAATGAAGAGATGAATTTTTTTTTTAACTTTTTTGTGTAGCTTGGGATGAGGCTGGAGCACAGGCCAAGACTGACACAAACAGCTATCATCTCCTTAAGAACTGAGATGAGGCGATATGTGTGCAGCAAATAATGAAGGAAAAATGTTATGGCCTAAGTTGTCATTCTTTGTTAAGGGCTATCTAGTCATTATCCTTGTCCTTGCACCCCTTCTCCCCTGCTTTCTGTATTCTTGCAGCATAGTGCGAGTACCCTTTGCCAGCCACCTCACTGCTGCCTGGATTCCTTCCTGCCAACCCCAGGAAAACCTGTGAAATTGGCTTAAACTCAGCTTCTCTGGAGCACCTGCTTTCCTCCTGCTGTGCTCTTTCTGCGTTCCTGCTTTCCTTGGTCGAACCTCCCTATGAGTCTACATTCAGACACAGCTCTTTCTTGGCTCACCACATGCTTTTGCTTATGGGCTTACGTTCAGCTGCCTGACATATCTGGAAACCACACTGCCCTCCCAGACCTATGTGCCTTTTAAGAAAGGACAGTGCTGCCTGGTGCAGTGGCCAGACTGGGCAACTTAGTGAGATTCTGTCCAGGCTATGGAAGTGGTAGTGTGACCCTGGGTTTATCCTCAGTCCCCAGGACTGCCATAAAACAAAACAAAAACCATGCTAGATAAGCTTCTCTTTGTAACCACATTTCAGTTGTTAATGGTATATAACATGCAAGAAGTGTTTTGGAAAGGAAGCTTTTGAGAACTCTTTCAAATCATCCTTTGTTTGGTAACTGAACTTCTTAGATGAGCCCAACCCAAAGAAAAGTCATCTTGGAGCAGGTGCATCACTACTCATGGGTTCTTTGTACCTCTCCTTACCACTTGACTCTCCCTGGATCTCCAGGCGATCCACCAGAATGAGTTTGTCCCTAGTTTACAGGAAAGTACTGCACTTCCTTTCGATATGTACATAACTATAACTTGTTTATGTAATGAGATAGCTTATGGGCATTTTCATCCTTGAATATTCCTTAGCATAGCACTTGGCTAGTAAAATGCTAAATTGAGAATATAAAAATGGTCCTTTCTTGGCCACCATTTTAAGATACTTAAGAAACACCTGTTGTATACAACTTGTGCAAGATAGGTACAAGTCTTAGCTTTTTTCTGTGTGCATGTGCTTGTGTGCTTGTGTGCGTGTGTGTGTGTGTGTATGTGCTGGAATCCAAGAATTATACTCACAGCCTCTGAGCTTAGTCTTGAAGTATGAAAAAAGGATTTCACATCTGAACAAGCCAAAGCATAGACCTGGAACCGAGGCATATAGAGAAGTGATTGGAAGTCTGAGGAGAGCTGCTGGTCTGTCCTGCCTCTGACCTGCCTCTTGCTCAAACTGAACAGGAACCAGAATGGTGCCACCTGAAAAATACGTCCTGGAGAGTAGAATGTGAAGGCATTTTTAGATTTAGTGAGTATACTAAATTTGTGTGCACTATATGAAGACAACTTTCTTTTTAATAAAATCTGTATTGAGATAAAATTCACATATCATACAGTTCATCCATTTATAGTATAATATTTAGTGTATTCACAGATAAATGCAATTATCACCAGTTAACTTTAGAACATTTCATTATCTTATAAGGAAACCATATCCATTCCAACCTCCCCACTCCTTGCCACACGCCACTGTAACTCCAAAGCACTATGTGTTCAACTGTTTTGAACTTTCCTATGAATAAATTTATGTATCATTTAGACTTTATGACTGGATTATTTCACTTCACATATTTTCAAGATTCAACTAAGTAGTAGCACATACCAGTATCCAATTTTTCTTTAATAGCCAAACATTCCATGAATCCTACTTTTTATTTTAGGAAGTGTCTTCAGTTTGAAAGTGCTATCAACCAAGCCTAAACTGAATACATCTGTGTAGGAAAGCCAAGAAAGTGATGATACAAAATTAAGGGAACTAGATCTGGAGACAAAGGAAGTTCTGGAAAGAATACTAGTGAGGAGTCCGTTATTTTCTAGAGGACCTGCAGGATAGGAAGTCCTTGAAAGAATACTAGTGAGGAGTCCGTTATTTTCTAGAGGACCTGCAGGATGCCTTCAAAATGGCTTGGTAAGGGCTACATGTAATGAGATAGCTTATGGGCATTTTCATCCTTGAATATTTCTTAGCATAGCACTTGGCTAGTAAAATGCTAAATTGAGAATATAAAAATGGTCCTTTCTTGGCCACCATTTTAAGATACTTAAGAAACACCTGTTGTATACAACTTGTGCAAGATAGGTACAAGTCTTAGCTTTTTTCTGTGTGCATGTGCTTGTGTGCTTGTGTGCGTGTGTGTGTGTGTGTATGTGCTGGAATCCAAGAATTATACTCACAGCCTCTGAACTTAGTCTTGAAGTATGAAAAAAGGATTTCACATCTGAACAAGCCAAAGCATAGACCTGGAACCGAGGCATATAGAGAAGTGATTGGAAGTCTGAGGAGAGCTGCTGGTCTGTCCTGCCTCTGACCTGCCTCTTGCTCAAACTGAACAGGAACCAGAATGGTGCCACCTGAAAAATACGTCCTGGAGAGTAGAATGTGAAGGCATTTTTAGATTTAGTGAGTATACTAAATTTGTGTGCACTATATGAAGACAACTTTCTTTTTAATAAAATCTGTATTGAGATAAAATTCACATATCATACAGTTCATCCATTTATAGTATAATATTTAGTGTATTCACAGATAAATGCAATTATCACCAGTTAACTTTAGAACATTTCATTATCTTATAAGGAAACCATATCCATTCCAACCTCCCCACTCCTTGCCACACGCCACTGTAACTCCAAAGCACTATGTGTTCAACTGTTTTGAACTTTCCTATGAATAAATTTATGTATCATTTAGACTTTATGACTGGATTATTTCACTTCACATATTTTCAAGATTCAACTAAGTAGTAGCACATACCAGTATTCAATTTTTCTTTAATAGCCAAACATTCCATGAATCCTACTTTTTATTTTAGGAAGTGTCTTCAGTTTGAAAGTGCTATCAACCAAGCCTAAACTGAATACATCTGTGTAGGAAAGCCAAGAAAGTGATGATACAAAATTAAGGGAACTAGATCTGGAGACAAAGGAAGTCCTTGAAAGAATACTAGTGAGGAGTCCGTTATTTTCTAGAGGACCTGCAGGATGCCTTCAAAATGGCTTGGTAAGGGCCGGGGATTTAGCACAGTGATTCTGCCACCTGCCTTGCAAGCACAAAACCCCAAGTTCGATTCCCGGTACAAAAAAAAATGGTACTAAAAACAAAATGGTTTGGTACACAAGTCGGACTTTCTTTTTTGATCCTACCATGGTCATCTTTATCAACACCAGTAAGTGTTTATTAATCATGTACTATGCACATAACACTCCTAAAAGTCATATTATAAACTGTGTAAGACTATACTTGCAATTTAGATGGTAGACAGATTATATGTAAAAAGATAAAAAAGCTGTTTTATGCATCCTCTGATGACTGCAACTAGTGTTTTTTCCTGTACATTGTATCATCACTGTTTAGAATTGCCTTTTTCCAGTTAGATTTATGCTGCCTTTTTCCTGGAAGAAGGTATAATTAAACACAAACACACACACACGCACACACAGTACAACAATGCATGAAAAGTAGCATGCTAAGTGTTAATGACCATATGTGTTATTGGAATTCAGAAGAGAACCAGCACCTGTGGGAGCTAGGTTTGAGGGCTGTGGAAAGAACATTAATGAGACTTAAAATAGGTTATAGGTGACAAGGTTGTGGCAGAAGGATGCGGGCAAATTCAAGAATGCTTAGTCACTTAACAGATTAAGATGATTAAACTGAAGAAATGAATGGGAAGGTGGGAGGGGAAAGGAGGAGGACTGGATTGCTTATTGCCACTGAAGACCTTACAACTAAGGACCAGTAGGTGAAAACTGTACTGTCCAATTGTTGGCAAGAAGCCTAACACCAATTTTTCTTTAATAGCCAAACATTCCATGAATCCTACATTTTATTTTAGGAAGTGTCTTCAGTTTGAAAGTGCTATCAACCAAGCCTAAACTGAATATATCTGTGTAGGAAAGCCAAGAAAGTGATGATACAAAATTAAGGGAACTAGATCTGGAGACAAAGGAAGT